TTCTACTGACTAAAAGAGAAGGAATCAAAGTGAAGGTCGGAGGTTCGTTTTCATTGCCCATAGCCATCGTACCTATCAAGTATGGATTGGTCCCCATAAAAGTTGCTGTCCTCGATACTTTTAGCATCGATATCGTGGAGAAAAACCTACTTGTAGTTGTAAGTATGTCACTTTAACCAGGTTAATAARTCAAGCAGATATATTCGCGTCCCAGGTTTAAAAAGTGAAACATACTGACATACTGAGATCGGACCTTATAGGTTTAAGTATTCTGTTAACCACTGAATCTTAACTRGGGTACTTAAATCTATTCAGACAGGGCTTTTGTGGCTTTCTGGGACCGGCAAAGGGGGGAGGGGGCTTTTGTGGTCCGCCCCCTGTAACTCTTAAACTACTTGACGTATGAGCACCAAATTTACAGAGGAGAATGTGCATATCAAATTAAATTAGTTTAAATTTAAACTATAGGCACTTTAGTATAATCATGACGTCATTTAGTTGTTTATATTAGCTAATATTACCTCGAAGACTGAATGTACAATATAAAACTTCAAAAGATATATGTTTTATAAAAGAATAATGTCTGTTAAGTCTTTTTATGTCATTAGCAACAGCAATGAYGCTATCATATAGTCAGAGTGACGTCATATATATTGGAAAACAGTTTAAACATTCAATAAGACATAATGTATAAGCTGGAACTTCCAATAATGCATATATCTGATAAATAATAGCGGTATTGCCAAAGTGTTAGAGATCGATCAATTTTTTACATGGTAWCGAATTATGAAGGCCATAAAATTAACTGAATTTCGTATCTGCTCGGTAGAAAATAACTTTTTTAGGTGAAAAGACATTTTAAGATATCTTCCAATATTTTGTATCGGAAAACATGAAAATACGTCGATAGTGTTTGTATTAGGACTAAATTTGCTGCTTTGGTATGTCCACCATCTTGCAATTGAATACGCCATCTTGGATCCGCCCTATTGAACTTCTTTAAATTAATTTATTGTAGTAAATAACCTAAAACGACTGACCATATAGACTGAAAGTGGTTGYTTCTTTATAGTAGAATTCTTTATAATTGAAACGAATAGGCAGTAATAAAATTCCAGAGTTAAATTACTAGTACCACAAATTCGGTCCGCCATTTTGGATCAGTTTACAAAGTTAATGTATCCATCAAATTGGCATAAAATACCATTATTCGCAAGATGTTGTACGCCCAAAAGTAGTGAATTTTTGTAGAACCTACCAATCAAAGTTCGTGGAACTCCTTCTCTCCCCTCCGTCCCCCCCCC